GCAATGGTGCATCCCCGATCAGTGGAACTAAAGAAAAACGCCGGCCAAAAAAAAATTCCGATCACCGGAGATAATCTAGTCTTGGTAATTTGAATTGTGCAGATATTATTATTAATAAAAAAAAAAAACGGTGGGATTGGTCGGAGAAGGAGCAGCTGCCAGCTCCGACGAGAGAAAGACGGTGGAGAGAGAGAGTCTTCACCGGAGTGAATCTGTAAAAAGGAAACTTTAGAGTTCGATCTCGATGATTAGGAACGAATGTTGTAATGAACAAATAATCCTTCCCTTTTGCTTTTTTATTTCACTTTTTTTTTTCTTTTTAATTTTCAATTTTACTAAATCAAATTCTCATATTGTTCGTTTTTTAAAACTATTAAAACTTTTTAATTTAATAAATTTTAAAATTTTAATTTGTATTTAATAAAATTCTTGATGGATATTTTTAAAAGTTATTATTACAATTTTGGAACTTGGAAACTTGCCACTTAATATATTTAATTATTTGGATATATTATAATCATTAAAAATGATTATCTTTTATCTTAATTTTTACTAATTAAATACCCGAATTAGTCATAAAAATAAATTATTTGGATATATTTGCATTTATTAATGTTTTAAAATTAGATAAAATTCAAAAGAAGTGAAATTAAGCTCAACCTTCATACATTTCCTTTTGAAGAGATTTAATGATGGGAGCATTAAGCAATAATGCCTTACTTTACTACATTAAATCCATCTTAAACAAATATGTTCAGCTTAATCTGATATTAACCTAATATTAATTATAACACTCACATTTAATTTGGAAATTTTATTAATGTATGAAAAATGGTTAAAAGAAAAAGAAAAAACATTAAAAAATAAGAGACCTATGATTGGTTGGTTAAAAAACATAGGTGGGACCACATAGCCGCAGCTTTTTTTTTCTTCTTTTTTTCTTTTTACCTTTTAAAATCATCAGTACGTTAATTCCCAAAATACCCTCGCTTCCAACTTGAACCGACTTTTATTTGTTTTTTTTTTTTTAATTTAAAATTGAATTCATATAATATGTTAAAAAAAAAAAAAAAAAACTTATGTATTTATTTAATTAAAAAATTTAGAAAACATTTTTATTTGGCTTTGTAAAAACTTGAGCATTGAAGAATAGTAAAGGGCGCGTGAGGTGGACTAAAGGGAATGGAGATTCCGATTACGTCGACCAGTGGGGCCCCTTTTGTGAGCTGCTTACTGCTTTAAACTTGTATTTGGTTGCTCGAGCCATGTGCCGTGGGTCCCACTCATCACAGGTGGACTTGATGCAAAAGACACGTGTACACTACCTTCTAGAAGCCCACTTTCCATTCCCCTCCTTCCAGTTCTACCCGGACATTCCTTCGCAATTTTAGAAATTTATTCTTTATATATATTTTTTAAATTACCGTCATTTCTATTCAAATTATTATAATTTTAATTGGGTGAATTTTTAAAATTAAATTTTATCGCCTAAAAATTAAATGATTATTGATTAGACTTAACCAAAGTTATTTGGAATATATTTTAAAATAAAAAAATTATTTTAATTTATTATAGACGTAGGACATTATGGTATTATTATTTATTATTTAGACGTGATTTTAAAAATATCTACTCCTATAGTCCTAATAGAACTAAAATAAAAATAAAGATGATGTAAAAATATTCCCAAATCTTATAAAATAAAAACATGCACAGGTCACCCACAAGCCACATTATAATAATAATAAAACTGTCCAATGATTGCCAGTTGGAAAACATTAGAAGCAACCAAAATTTACATTTTAATTTGAAGTGACACGTCACGTAAATTTAAATTAATGAAGATTACTTAATTAATTAAGCAATTAACGTGAAACTCGAGACTACCCTCTTCTTAATAATTAAATATTTTATTTTCCATATACCATACAGCATATCTCTCGATGCCCTCAAAATATTCTATTGGTTCGGTACTTTAGTTTTTATTTATTTATTTATTTATTTATTTATTTATTTATTTATTTCAACCCTAATTACTTATTTATATATTTTATATATATTAAAAAAATGAGAATGGAAATAGGTGGGGCGTCCCGTTTTCAACTTTATTGAAAATTGGGTTTGATTTTTGTGGTAGGGAAAAGATGTGACAGATTGCTGTTGAAAATAAAAGCTTATAAAGACCAATTAATGAAGTTTAGTTTTATTTAAAGGATTAATTAAATATAAATTATAATATAAAAAAATGTTTCATAATTCAGCTGACCTTCTTCTAATCCTAAATATATCTCAATTTTTCCCCATATTTATTTATATTATTATAATATGTGTAACAATTTTGAATGTTCGAGAATATTACACTTTTTATATCGAACATAAATCGTATGGATTTATTACATAAAATTGTTAATTTTTGTTTTTCTTTTTGTAAAATTATTAATTTAGTCTCGATAATTTCATTTTTATAATAATCTACTCTAAAAACTTAAATTACCATTAAATTTGTAACGATTTTATTCTTTTTACTAATCTAAAAGTACAATCACTAAATTGTCACGTATTAAAATTTATGTACTATTTCAAGTTATTCTCAAACATGTCTCGAAAAATACAAAAATTATCCTGTAATGTACTCGATATTCTCGAGATTCTTATATCAAGTAATATTTTATACGAAAATGAAAATTTCAAATATTCATGCTTCCCTCATTCTGATTTATGAGAAAGGACGCAGAATATTTGTTGAAAATACTGTTAAAAAATTAATTTATATATATATATATATATATAAACCCTTTGGTTTTTACTTGGACAGACGAAGAAAGCATATGAGGTAAAATCCATTTTTACCTTTTTCTTTTGCAGTAATTGGGGTGAAATCCAAGAAAATGGAGTAAAAGTTAAAATATTTCCATATCTAAACCGATTGCTTTTAGTTTGAGATGACAAAGAAACCAAACATTGTAATACAACATGAGTAGTCAGTGACACAGACCAAAACAAACTGTCTCCACGTGACAATAGTTCAATAATCATGAGTCCGAGATCTAACCATTGATATAGTTATTAGTGTTTTATTTATTAAATTATATTTTGATTAATAATTCTCATGTTTAAAATAATTTTTAAATTAAAATATTTGTACATTTATCCATTAGTATGAGACTTAGAAGTCAAAAGCAAAATTACGATAGTTTATGCTCAAAATGTACAATATCATACTAATGTGGAGGACTAATGTTTCTAACACAATATAATAGACATGCAATTATCTTAACTTAATTATGTCAATAGAATCCTCAAGTATCTGAATAAAAGAGCTGTGAGCTTTAAAGGTATAGTTACAGTGAATCAAGTGTCGAACAAATAGAAATAGGGTTTGTGAGATGCTCTCTAATGTATTTTGTTCGAATGAAAGATTGTATTGTTGGTTGGCTTAATGTATGGAAGACTGGGGGGGTAAGATTTAAGAAACATGGCCCAAAGTTTACCTGCTCCAGAATAGTAAATACAAGGTTGTGTATGAATTCAGCACACTTTTTTTGGTACAGTAAAACTTGAAATCTTATCCAATTGGGTAATGAACTATGAACACAAACTTCTTCTTCTTCTTCCATCATGGGGTTGAACTTTTGAGTTGAAAAAAAAGAAAAGAAAAACAGAGGAGGACAGAAGTAAACTGAGAAGTGATGGAAGTCGTTGAAACTGCTTGTCTAGTAGTAATCAAACAATGAATGAAAGAAAGTTAGCCATTGAAAACCCAGCATGCATTGCGTAATTGCTTTTAAAGTTTGAACAGAACAACCGACCAAACTATATATATCCATAGAGCATGAGGCGTAGGGAAAGGGGATAGGTCCCCATGTCCTTAGTTCATTAGTTTAGTAACGAGAATTGTGTTATGAATCACAGACTCTCAAATGGTATGATAGTGTCTACTTTAGCAATTCTTTAACTTAATAGAGAAGAAATATTTCGGAATATGCAAAGAATACGCTAAAATTATATTTAATGTCTCCATTATTTTTGGTTTAGTGTGGAATTTATTAAAATATAGTTAAAATTTTAGATGCATATAATAGATACCGCTGTTTTAAGAGTAAGGTAGGAAGATAATAATCTAATATTTATATTAATATGAACTAATATTGTTTTTGCAGAATTGCAATAATATATGTTCGATATAGAAAGATCCTGTCTGTTTTTTGTGACAGGAAAGTTAGGTTAAAATATAAATCATACTTTTTGCGAAAAAAGAAAAAGAAAAAGAAAAAGAAAAAAGGAAAATTGATGAGAGAAACGTGTCACCCACAGGCCACAGTCAGCGGCACAGATCCCTAGAAGCATCTTGCAGGGTTTTCCATGGAAATTTGTGCAGGCATGGGCTGCATCCATCGCCTGTCCCACTTTTATTTTATTATTATTTTTTTTTTCTGAAATAAAATTAATAAAATCTCCTGGATAAGAGCAGTAATATTGATTTGATTTTAAAAAAAGAGTTTATTCTTAATGGGTTTTTGGATATGTTTGTAAAGGAGGCTCGAATGCAAATGAGAATGAGAGAGAAAAGTATCAATCTTTGTTTGTGTCGAAACTCGAAAGGTGAGTGAATTTGAAAGTTAGGAAAGTGGAACGACATGTCGATGTCCGGTTGGGTCTACATTGATAAATATGCACGAGGGTCTGCTTTTTGAGGGTTTTTTAAAAGAGGGGGAAAAGTGTCATTTCAAAGATTGTCCATTTTCTGTGGTCGGGTTGCACTACAACTGATCAACACTTTCTCTCCATCTATCATATTTGACACACACACACACACACACACACACACACTACTTGCCCATTGGTGGGGCCTTTCATTTTTCAACCTGCTTGCTCGTTTTGATAATCACCTTTTGATCTCATGTTTATGTCAAACCATGAGTGCTAGACTTGACGGAATCTTTGTTTGTTATCCACATTTGGTCTTCTTGCCTTAAATGATCCTCTGGGCGATTTTGAACTCTAGAAAAGCTGTTTGATGAGCTTCTATTCACTTTAGAACTTCAATGAAGACGGCTTGAGAGTGGACATATTATGGGTCTCCTTAGATAGTGTTACTACAGCATTCTTGAAGATGGAGGGCTCACATTCGTGCTAAGAATGTAAATGACGATCAATGGCTGACCTCTCTTTATTATCCCTCTGAATGCGGCAATGGCTGACTTATACCATGAGTCTTTTAAATCATATGAAATATACAGCTTCCAGAAAAAGTGTCAAATATCAGACACCATTCATGTCTACAATTTCAACCTTCATTTCCTAAAACTTATAGTTACATTGACATCGATATCAAAATACCAGATAAAGATGTACAGTATACAATTACCTTATGGCATCTGAGTTCTGAACCAAAACTTGAGAATCAAAGCAATGCCGATGCCACTAAGACACAAACCTTTGCAGTTGCAACCTCTGAATTTTACGACCACGGTCATTTGAACGGTTAGCGAGTGACTCTATCCTTCTGTTTTCTTCTCAACTAGTCAGCTTATATTACGTAGAAAAATGCGTTAGTATAGCAGGATAATGTACCAAATATGTATTCAGATGCGGGATAATCCAACTGCAAGTTAACAATTTAACTGGCACCAACGCTTATACTCAGAACAGTATTCTTTGCTTCTTAAACCTTAAGGGAAAAAAAGGATGTTATCTAGTTGGCCTTGATCGCTCAATCTCTGTTCCCTCCTCGGAACCCTTGATTTCAATCCCATCCTCATCATCGCTATGACTCCCATGATCTGATGGCCGTTTCAATCTTTGAAAGATCTCATCAAGAGACTGAGATGAATCAAGACGAGAAAGAGATCTTGTGTCTTGAATTTGTTGCAAGGGAAGGAACTTTTTGTTTCCTATATTAGCCTTGAAGTTTTGGAAACCCATCTTCATCGATTCCCACTTTGAGGCCAAATCAGAAGTCGTCTTTTCATTGGTATTGCTAGATTCGCCGTTAACTGTATCAAGTAAGGTAACCTTGGCCGAAGCCATGTTTGCCACTGCCTTTGGGTCTAATGATGATTGTCTAATTTGTTCTCTAATTACGGCATACTTGTTGCTCATGGCTTCTCTGCTAGAACCATATTTCCGACCCTCATCAGCAGAAGATTTTGACGAATTCCCGTTCATGTCTTCATTTATTAGACTGTTTGTTGCCTTCGCTTTGGCATCAAGAAAACCCTGAATATTTAACTCCTTGATTAGAAAGAAAGTTTTACCAAATTAAGAATTCTTCAGATCGAGATGCATTTACTTGAGATCACCAACGAAAATATATCTCCTACATTAAATATTGTGAGGATTTCAATTTCTCCTAAACATAGCACCACCATGACATCAAAATATGGTTCACAATTTGCATGAATGCCTCGAGAAGAAATATTTATGGAAAATGTACATACTGCGCTGTTGCTGCTGCCTGACTCCAAGTCTATTCCATTGAAATTTCTAGCTAAGGGAATAACGTGCTCACCGACCATGTGCCCTTGTTCAAACCAAGATCGTTCTGAGGAAATTGGGCGCAAATGTTAAAACTTCTCGAATGAGACAACGACCAAATAAGAACCAGACTAGGTTGGACATAAAAAAAGCCAAAACTCATCCAGAAAAGTAAACTACCAATATTATCCAAGGACTACCTTTCTGCAATATAATTACTCCTGAAGGATCAAATCCATCCATATCATCCACCTCCGACTGAAATCTAAACCTCTTCCAGCTTCCCAGGAAATTAATAACCCGATTAAAGAAATTGCTGGCAACCAAAATGGTGTAGACAACCATAATAAGCGGGTAAATCCTATTAAAACCTTTTCCAAAGAAAGGGACGGCATCATCAATTTTACCCATCCTCTGCCATTATGTATAATTGCACAATATATCAGGTAAACTAGTGAATATGATTAAAGGAGACAACAGAACACCACAGTCACAAATATATTACTGATAAGCGTTAGAATTTTTAAGCACTCAGGAAAGGTGAAGAAAGAAAGATCATAAATAGGTAAGACCTCAAATCCCAAAAATAAACCACAGCTGCAAAGGAACATTGCAGTAATTAAAAATAATAGTAATAGTAATAGCAATGATTACCTGTTCAAAAACAGTTTTCTCGTTCCCATCAAGACGTATGAGATTGAGAAAGTTGAATGAAATCGGTGGAGCATACCTGGCAACCATCCTAGTAGAGGAATGAACATAAAATGAGTACTTACTCTATCATAAAGATGAATAGATAATAATAGGTAAAACTGAAATACTCACGAACAAATTAAAAGCAAGCTCACAGAGCTTGTTTGCCTGGGTGTCAATGAATAGAATATCAAAGTTCCAAACTTGAATAAAGAATAATACGTGCACACGCACATATACATCAATGGAACAAAAGCAAAGGCCTGAAAGAAAAGAAAATAAATTTACCAATCATCAGAGAAGTCCCAGAGAAGCAAAAATGAATCCACTACATACGGGAAAAATTATGGCAGGGAGAAAAGTAACAGATAGCAGTAGTCAGATAATGAGGAAAGGGATCCTAAAGTCTAAACTGAATCTTAAGTAGATGTTCCGAAAAACTGATGAAAGACTTTTTTTCCTTTTTTCCAGAACTACTATAGGAAGATTGCAAATTGCAAGAAAATGAACTTTTTTTTTCTAAAAAAAAATGGAAAAGAAAAGAAAAGAAAAAAGAAGAAAGAAATAAGCTTGTACGTCTGATAATTAATACTGAGAATATCAAAATAATTTTAGTTCACATCTGGTTTAGCTATCATTTATCTTTCGTTCTCTAATGTAAATAGGGGTCTTAACAGCTGGGTTGTAGCTCGTGATTAGATAAGGGAGCTGCATGTCAAAATTAACAACGGCCGAGTCAAGACCAATCTGTTTATTTCGGTTTTTATCACCAGTATGAAAATTGGGATGCGGTAAATGAAATATGCTTCTTTTCATTTTCTTATCCCGAACACCCTCCCTCTAGGAAAATTACTTTGACAAAGAATTGACAAAGAATCGCCCACAGTTCATTTAATGAAATGAAAGAATCCCATGCGACTGAATTGTACATAATAAACAAAAGATACATAAATACTGGTTCACATATCATGTTTAACTGAATGTCCTAACAATTACATAATGAGATATATGCACATAGAAAAAGCAATTCCCTGCTAACTATGATAATGTACCTGCACAAGCACCTCCTCCCGTCCTACTAATTTAATGAGCATTGAGAAAAGTGATAAATCGACTCTTGGTAACAGGGTGGCCTCGGCTAAAAGAATTGCAGCAGACATGATACCAAGTATAACAGCCAAAACTTTCTGAAGATGCTTTCTTAGGATGCATCGCCATATAAATTCTGCAGACCACTAACTCATTGTAAATATTCATTATTTACGATTTAGAGCAGAAAATAAAAGTATTTTACTGTTGCAAGATATCGAATAAAAGACTAACAGATAGTTACAATACAAGCTAATAAGCATGGTGACTACTTATCTGTGGCAATGTCAGACACATTCATACTGATGTACATTTCAGAGAAAAAACAAAAAAGAAAACCCATAAAATAAAAATCAAAATATACTTGATAAATGCAAGGGCTCACCACTGAGAAGAAACTCTAGCAGTGAGAATGCAGGAACTCAGAGGGTCCCATTCACTCGCATTAGCGACCAAATACAACATATTCCTTCCTGCATCTCTTTTATTTACATTTCAGATCTAACGACCCCACCCTTGTAGATCTACCCCCATAGTGTTACATACATGATACAATGACGCACTGATTAGAAGCACCGAAATGCCCTCTACAAGTATTCTCCACATAACTAACTAGTATTTCTGCCCCCATTTGATTGAGATGCACTGCAAAGAACATTTTTTTGGTTCAACAAGCAATTCCCATATTCGAGTTGAGGTGAAGGGAAAGAGGTCTGCCTTTAATACAGAGCCACAAGTCTCCAATAGTGACCTGAGGGGCCGGAGAGTCAACCTCATATCGTCTAAGATAGAATGGAGGAAGACATCAGATACTAGATGGATAAAGTTAGTTAAGAAATCACGCTCCCTTAGCTCCAACTAGGAAAGGGCCACAAAAAAAACGGCACAAGTTTCTGATTTGAACATTCTACAGGGAGCATTATTGATAGGATTGCAACTTCAAAAATGCCAAGTCCTCTACCACAACATGCAATTCACTTCCTTTCATCAGCCAATTTTTTCATATGACATTGAGAACAGCAAATATTGAGATCCTCTAGAATATAATTATGCTTCCTTGTCAGCTGGTTAACTATGCCAATAGGTGTTACCGGTCTTTCCAACAAATAAACACAGATGAATCACAGCCATAAATCCTCTTGAAAAGGAATCGTTTCAGTAGGAGACAAGTACTGCTACTGAGTTTGATAGCGAAGTTCTTAGTAATGTTGAAGAGACACTAGTAGATACATGTATGAATAGATACATATGTTGAAGGGTCACTTGTACATGTGTAGATACATGTAGGTTCATTAGTTCCTAATTAAATAGATGCATGACTTTTGGATAATGAATGGTAATGGGGAATGTCCCAATTTACCTATATATATATATGTATGTTGGCATTGGTGGAAGAAGTAGAAAATCAATCAAGCATTCCTTCGTAGTTTTACAAAGTTCTCTTCTTTCAAAGAATTCTACCAAATTTCTCTGTTGTCACCAACAACTAATCGGCCTTCTTACATGGAAAGCTTCAAGAAGAGGTATATGTGGAGCAACCAGAAAATTTTGTTCAAAAAGGTAAAGAGGAAAAAGTGTACAGCTTGCTTCAAACCGTACAAAGCTTTCTTCAGCCTGTACACTTTTTCCTCTTTACCTATTTGAACAAAACCTTCTCGTTGCTCCACATATACCTCTTCTTGAAGCCCTCCATGTAAGAAGACCGATTTCACATCAAGTTGATAAATAGGCCATGATTTCTGTGCTGGAATAGAAATTATAAGCCTTATAGTATCTTGACGTGCTACTGGTGCAAATACCTCTTAATAATCAACTCCATACTTCTGCTTGTATCCTTTTGCAACTAGTCGTGCCTTGTACTTATCCACCTCACCATGTTCATTCAACTTGGTTTTGAAAACCCATTTTACTCCAATTGTTTTCTTCCCTTTAGGAAGATCAGTGAGCTCCCCAGTCTTATTCTTCTCTATGGATTTGATTTCACTGTCCATGGCTTCCTTCCATTTCTTCTCCTTTACAACTTCTTCATAGACAATTGGATCACTATCCATAAAGAATGCAAAATAAGCACTATCACTTGAGTCATAGTCCATCTCATAATCAATCATCCAATTTGGTCTCTTTCTTGTTCTTGGATTTCTTTGATTGTGAACATGATCTTCTTCTTCTACTGGTTCTTCCTGTAGATCTTGAAGAAGAACAAGCTGAAGCCCCTATTCAGCCTCACTATGAGCATGGAGAGAGCTCATCACAAGCTCAACAAGAAGAACCAGTAGAAGAAGATCATGATCACAATCAAAGAAATCCAAGAACAAGAAAGAGACCAAATTGGATGATTGATTATGAGATGGACTATGACTCGAGTGATAGTGCTTATTTAGCATTCTTTATGGATAGTGATCCAATTGTCTGTGAAGAAGCTGTAAAGGAGAAGAAATGGAAGGAAGCCAAGGACAGTGAAATCAAATCCATATAGAAGAATAAGACTTGGGAGCTCACTGAAAGGGTAGAAAACAATTGGAGTAAAATGGGTTTTCAAAACCAAGTTGAATGAACATGGTGAGGTGGATGAGTACAAGGCACGACTAGTTGCAAAAGGATACAAGCAGAAGTATGGAGTTGATTATAAAGAGATATTTCCACCAATAGCACGTCAAGATACTATAAGGCTTATAATAATTTCTATTGCAACACATAAATCATGGCCTATTTATCAACTTGATGTGAAATCGGTCTTCTTACCTGGAGAACTTCAAGAAGAGCTATATGTGGAGCAACGAGAAGGTTTTGTTCAAATAGGTAAAGAGGAAAAAGTGTACAGGTTGAAGAAAGCTTTGTACGGTTTAAAGCAAGCTCCGAGAGCATGGTACAGTGGCATTGATTCTCATTTTGAAAAGATGGGATTCACTAAATGCCCATATGAACATTGTTGTATGTGAAAACTTAAAAGGGAGGTAACATTCTCATTATTTGCTTATATGTTGATGATTTAATATTTACTGGCAATAATGAAGAAATATTTGAACTTTTTAAGAAGAGCATGATGAAGGAATTTGAAATGACAGATCTTGGTTGGATGAAATATTTTCTTGAAGTAGAAGTTACTCAAACTCCCGCGGATAACTTTATCTGTCAGAAGAAATATGCTCAAGAATTACTTGAAAGATTTAAAATGGATGAGTGCACATTTGGAACTCCATCAGAATTGGGTTTGAAGTTGCACAAGGATATTAAAGGGAGAGGTTGATAATAGGTACTTCACACAAATTGTGAGAAGTTTGATGTACTTAACTTCAACAAGACCAGACATCATGTATGCGGTTAGTATGATAAGTCGCTACATGGAGCATCCAACTGAAAAACATCTCAATGCAACAAGAAGGATACTTCGTTATATGAGAGGAACTTTTGATTTGGGAGTATTCTACAAGAAAGGAGATGATTTGAAGATGATTGGCTATACAAATAGAGACTATGTAGGTGATATAGATGATCGTAAAAGTACTTCAGAAAGTATTTTCATGATGAGTTCAGGAGCTATTTGCTGGTCTTCAAAGAAGCAACCTATTGTAACACTCTCAACTACAGAAGCAGAGTTTGTGGCAGCAGCAACATGCTCGTGCCAAGCAATTTGGTTAAGAAAAATACTTGAAAATCTTAATCAGAAGCAACCAAGTACGACGGTTATATATTGTGATAATATGTCAACTATTAAGTTGTCTAAAAATCCTGTGTTGCATGGAAGAAGTAAGCACATCGATGTTCGATTTCATTTCCTGCGTGATTTGTGTAAAGAAGGCACTATTGAACTCAATTTTTGCCGAAGTGATGAACAAATCACAGACCTATTCACAAAGCCCTTGAAACAACCATGGTTCGAAGCTTAGAAGAAAATTGGGATGAGCAGAATTCAAGATACAGTTCAAGAAGATGAAGTGAAGTCCTAAACTGATTTCTGCAGAATTCAGTTTAAGGGAGGATGTTGAAGAGACACTAGTAGATACATGTATGAATAGATACATGTGTTGAAGGGTCACATGTACATGTATAGATACATGTATAAGGACATGTATGAATGAATACATGTAGGTTCATTAGTTCCTAATTAAATAGATGCATGACTTTTGGATAATAAATAGTAATGGGGAATGTCCCAATTTACCTATATATATGTATGTTGGCATGGGTGGAAGAAGTAGAAAATCAATCAAGCATTCCTTCATAGTTTTACAAAGTTCTCTTCTCTCAAAGAATTCTACCAAATTTCTCTGTTGTCACCCGCAAGTAAATCTAATGCGTCGAATTGTTGGAAGTAATGCATTTTGGATGTACTTCAAATTAGCAGTTCATGACATCAAACTTACAGTCGGAATTGAAGGGATGAGCTCCTCTTTACAAATGTCTGGTGCATTTTGAAGACTTCTTGACAAAAACAAACTTAAAAAGATCTTGCCAGTATTTAGTACGATGAAGACGCAGCTACGGAACTGCACTCCTCTGTTAAGAAATTCTAACTACCAACTTTAGCTGTGAGAAACTGTCACTGAGGAGGAAGGGCATACTTGTAGATCGCAAGGTAGCCTTCAACAAAGTCGCTGTTATCTTTCCCACCTAGTGGAGTAAAGGAATAAGGAACAAGCAGTCCCAATGGAGCTATTGTCAATGATTTATCCACTGGTAGATCGCACATAGTTGCACAAACGTGGCAATCTCTTTACATTTCATCTCAAAACTAATCCATCGCCAGCTGTTTGCAAGTCTTGAGTACTAGCTCATGGTTGCCCATAAAGCTGGAATGTCAAGAACCCTAGAGCTTAGCCATACAAGATTGCTTCCTAGGTACCATACAACTTATGCACCAAGCATCCTTTTTGAGTAATAATCATTCCATCCCATGGGAATCTAGATAGGCTGAAGGTTGTGATTCTATTTTGGAGTTGATAATGGATAATAAAAATGTACCTTGAAAAATCATCCAAACGAAAAGGCCCACCTTATTCTAAATCCAATATCTGTACTGAATATTAAGTTCAGAGCCAAGAGCTCGAAGGTCCATTTCAAGGCATCCTACACCAATGATTTGAAATCAAGCAAAAAATTTAGACTTTGTGCAGACCCCTGCCTAAATAAGGGCACCGAATCTGAAAGCAGGTACAATTTCCATTAGCTCCCTCCTATACATCAAGGCCGACCTTGCTCACTGACTAAACCTCCATACGTGCACAGTGGCACATTGTGCCTAAGACTACCTGATTCCACTCCAGAGGTCTCTCAGCCACCACAACAAACGGTTGCTCAAAATAGGCAAAGCAAGAAGTAGAACTCTCACACACCATGATTTATTTGCCAAAAGGCTACCTCAATCTTATGTGTCCAATGAAACTGATATTTTTTTAAACCATTCGAAGTAGAGACACTATACACCCGTCGCAAAAATCCAATGGTATGGTACACCTATTCAAAGTATGAAATTTCTCTAAATCCTGCCAGGTTCTTAAAGTAGGTTGTTGACCTATAAATGACCTTCAAAATTGACCGCTTAACTAACAATTATAGGTTGGCCTAGTAGTCCACGAGAACCAATGTAAGAAATACAAGACATTAGAGGAAATGGGTTCAAGTCATGGAGGCCACTTACCTACAATTTAATATCCTACAAGTTTCTTAAGTAACCAAATATGGTAGAATTAGGAAGTTCTCCAGTAAAATTAGTCGGGATGCACAAAAGCTGGTCTAAGCACAAACAGATATTAAAAAGGGAGAAACTCTTGACTGCAACAAAAAAGAACAGGCTGCCCATATTATTTACGACTGAGACCAATATTTGACTTACTAATGCAGTATAAAGAACATTTAATTATGTTCCATAATTCCAAGAAGATGACATCCACAAACATTCTGCGAAGGCATCACACTATCTCATGTGGTCACAGGTAGCACTAAAGAAAAAAATGACATTGATGAAGTTTATGCTTACCAAGTGTATCCAAGATAGACCCCAACTTCCCACTTCGAGCATGTCTGAGGGTTGAAACATATTTCCTGACAAAATAACATGGACATTCTGATGGTAAAGATCTAAATTCTGAGATGAAAGGTAACCAGGCTAAAATAAAACACCAAAGTTAGTAATTAGGGGGCAAACCATCCAGTTGACGTGCGGCGTTCATAATTCTTTATAGTGTCTTCAAGTTCAAGGGCCTTCATTACATAGGTCATATATTGGCTACGGAAACCAAAAAAAAAAATCATGAAATCTTTTAAAACTAATCGGTGATATCTAACAAGCAGCAAACAAGAATTCTTGCTCCTCCAAGAAAGTCAATAAGCAGATAAAGCTAGTAAATTGAGAATCCAAAGTACTTGGACAGAAGATTGACTGTCACGGTAAGCATACCAATAATTGTTAATTTAAACCATCATTTGCAGATATAACTACATCCAAAGGGGGAATATTCAAAAATCAACATCTCATGATGATACAGCATATAGAAATTAACAAAAGGAGATGCAAAATTAACGGTGGTTGAGAGCAAGATTTATTTCATTGCCAAGATATCACACACTTGAAGCAGTGAAATGGTACGAACCAAATTGTTCTGAAACGATGAACAAATAAAAAAATTGGAAAAGAAATTTTAAAGCCTCTCCTAATTCTCTCAATTCCAAGCTACTTGAGATACTCGTCCAATCTCTTGTCCTCTTGCACACGCTATTTATTTCTAATAACCATATTCATTCTGACCATCTCCAGCTAATAACTAATACGCCCCTAGTAATATAGTATATTCTTACTTTACCCCTAAAATACACCTCTCCTCAGGGTGCAGGTCAAGTAATGGCACTTAGGATGCCAACTCCTATTAACACATTGCCACCAAATAAAACCTGAATAGCTACTGACTTTTCATTTAAAGAGGTTAAATTGACATGGCAAAAGAGATGTTTCTTGAATATACTTTATAGTGACATTGCAAATCTGTTCTAATGTAACATTAAATGACCATATACATTTAACAATAAGACATTTAAGACTAAGCAGCAATGTGACAAAGTATTGATCCCAAGATTGAATGCAAGAGATAGGCCCAAGATGTACACTTACAGAGCTTATCAATCTCAATGTTCAGGTTGAGATGAGTATGTAGCAATAGCCAAAAAGATTAAAATATATATACAGAAAAAATATTGAGTACCTAGAGCAAGCTTATTTGATAAAAGATGTAGCAAGAATGCAAGATGACTAAAAATAACTTCCATGCACCAACACCCCTTTGCCACTCCTTGTTTACTTTTCAAATAACCCCTCACCATCGCCAATGCATTCTACCCTTTCCAACGTGCAATGCTTGCCTCCATACTGAACATGGTGAGCTCGAGCAAAAAGGTTAATGAAGACAATAGAAAAAGAAAACTTTGTAATTTGTTTCTCTCTTTCTCAGTTACCAGAACACTTCACTCTTGCAGCTCCAAACACATGCTCTTCCAAGAAATATCCTCGTCTAAGTTTCTTCTTTTTCTACACAAGCACTCTACCCTTGTCAATCATGTTCATCTCACACAGTTTTTGAGATTCTTGAACAAGTTTATTTCCTCAAAGTCAGCTTTTCGATAGCTAACTTAAAGTCAGCTTTGGCAAAAAAGTGCAATCTCTCCTCCCTCCAAATACTTGCCCGGTCATAATTTAGCCCCTCTGAAATTTATTGCCTTAATTATTTCAATGGTTCCTTCCTTTTTGTACATGATTCCGTCCATTTTTACGCAATAATTTAGCTCCTGAACTCATAATTCATTACCAAGAGTGAAGCTTTGATACAAACTCAATGGGCACCAAATTGATATTTGTATTGAGATTATGAAAGGATTGCAAAACTGGAGAAATTTTTTAAAGCTTCTGCCAGCTCTCGCAATTCCAAGCTACTTGAAATACTCACCCAATGTTTGTCTAACCTTCAATTTCCTTAAATCACTCTATTAATAACCAGATTCATTCTAACAAACTCCCTGACAGTGACCAAAATGCCCCTCAAAATCATAAATTTGATCGATCATCAATTCCACCACCTTCCTAATGGATAATGTACATAAATTCAAAGAAACAAATCAAATAAAAGATTCTAGGTTCAACAAATATAATATCTATCCCGATACCAATGCAACGCACAAAGTAAACATATTTACTTCTAGCATTAAACCCATTCTTAAGAAAATAGATGGTCTGTTACCCATATAAGGCTAGAAAGCACCGACTAAGCAACGTGAGATACAATAAAGTTGTGCTTGTACGTATGTATGTATCTCTGTTTGTCTATCTATCTATCTATCTATATATATATATATTATTTGTCTGTTTGTGTTTGTTTGTGAAACAAAGAGAGAACATAACTTTTTATGGACAAATTGAAAAGTTAAGAAAGCATCAAAAGAAATGCCGAACAACTCAAAAACCTCCAAGAAACCTTCCAATCTGAAATGACTGGAAAGGAGTAAATAATCCATATATACCTTTTATACCGGTAGTACTCCTCTCTTGCTCTGCGAAGATGACGCCTAAGCGTTGCCATTGATTTCTCATCGGTATCGTAGTCCATATCATTTTCTCCTAATTGTCCACCTCGTGGTTTGAAAGATGGATCTTCCTTAAACTGAGAATGGGCAATTGCAAGAAAATGATGCATAAAAACACTGGTTAAGATACTGATGTCTTTAAAATGGATAAAATAATGAAAAATATTTTTACCATTTGAGTTAACATGTTGTCAATAACATTCATGTAAGGTCTTAGAGGATCACGTTTAGACATCTGCTTAGACGTTGCTTGGGCAACCTATTACATAAATGAAGATCAAATATTGAATAAAAACAATTAGGTTGTTCTTCTTCCATGCATATCAACCAATCAATAAAATACTATAAACTAGTTGCAAGTTGCTACTTATGGGAATTTCATCTCTATTTGCTTAGGTAGCCGATACCCCACCCACTCAAAGTCTCCATGAAAGACGTTACCTATCTCAATTACTCACTTGCCACAAGGTAAAATCAGCCAATTGATATACGGATCACTCATTTTATATTATTTTCTTACATACATAAGATAGAGAAGAGGAAAATAACTCCTACTGCCGAACTAAAACTCAGTTAACTAAATACATAAGATAGAGAAGAGGAAAATAACTCCTACTGCCGAACTAAAACTCAGTTAACTAAATACCTAATAAAAGATGGACCAGTTGCATAGGAACGACTATGAAAAATAAATCATAAATACAGAATTCAATAAAAAAAAAAGCCAAAAGCCAAACTTTTTAAATAAGCACTTTAACAGTAAGACACGGCCAAATATACATGGAATAAAGAGGGTAAACCAGAAACGATAATGGAACAGCATAACAATAAAAACGACAAATCTAAGTATACACATTGGTGTGTGTATCTTCAGGTGCAAATGCATGCATCTGTGTGCACGTGTGAAACAGAGAGGAGCTGCTTGATTTGGAAGATTTCATTTAGTTAAGTTTTTCTTTCTGTCCATCTGCTGAGTGTCATGGGGGAGGCGGGAGGCTAACACTTACAACAATAGCATTTGATAGTTCTTGATGAGCATCATCAAGTTTAACAGCCATCTTGGAAATTTGATGGGAAAGAACTTTTTGGCGTGTAGTCCAGTCAGCATTTCTCCAAATACTCTTGGGGATTTCACTCAGACCAAAGCCAAGAAGAAATGCACCCGTTACCAATCCAAATGTATTTGAGCACGCCATAGCGAAACCCAGAACACCGCCATGCCTATTGACAAAGAGGCAAAATAATTTTATTCCGATCACAGAAAGTGTTCAATAATATAATAATTCACAAATGTGCAAAGGAACAAACGACACGAACTTGTAAAATCAACAGACATTATATACCAAGATAATTTGACAGTTACAAAGGTGGGACGTTTAAACTTTTTGTGGATAAGACTCCTCCAATTACTTTCTAGTTTATCATATATAGTTCATAGAACCTTGGTGGATTTGCGTTCTTTTTGTTTGGTTGGCTTAAAACATTATGTGAGGGGATCTATAAAAGCCAAAATTTTCAAGCAATAACTAACCAAATCTTGTGCATTGCGATGAGGAGAATTAGTCCAAAAAGACCTATGGATCCAACAACCAAATAAAATGCCAAGTTAACACGGATGCTGGTCTTCAGTCTTTGTTTCACAGTAAAGTCACCCGCATCTTCAAAACCCTGGATAAGTGGCACCACAGCCCTGTTTCAAGATGTGATTGGAAAATATGAGGATTACTCTACAGTTTTTAAGCGAGAGAAGTGTATATGTACTATGAGTATACCAGGTAAGTAAAAATGTACTCCAATAGGACCAGCTCCAAAAGAAAGAAATTACTCCAGTCTCTGGCAGACGACTTGTAGTCTGTACATACATACATTATATCAATAGCAAGAATATGATTATTGTTTGTTTCAGCTAACACTTACGGAAAAAGAAAAAAAAAAAAACTTGGCTAATAAGAGGATGCAAGATGATCTCTGGGTTATCTTTTTGCAGAAACAATTAACAGTGCTTTCCATGCAGGAAAGAGGAATTGGTAAAGATTGCAACTGAGGATCACAACTAACTATCTGGAAGTACAACTGCCAAAAACTAATAATACCAAATAGTTGATCGAATATGCTTCATCTCTCTGTTTCTACATATATAAATAAATAAATAGATAGGTAGATCGATAATATTGGTACCGTTATCAATGACCATTCTAGTAGAAATCTGGAGCTACAAAAATATCTAAAAACTATCATTATCAATTAAAATACATGAAATTGATCCTACAAACCCACGCCATGAATTCTGTTCAAATAGATGCCAATTTGTAGAAGAATAAATAGAAAACTACCACCCAAACCTCCATCAACGAAAATAATGAAGATAATTACACAAGACCTAATCACTTCAGCTAATTCCCAAATCTCCTTCCAACGGCATATTAAAATCTCACGAAACCAATTGTCAAATTCATATCAAACGCATCGACATGCCAAATCTCCAAATAAAAGCAACCGAGGAATCCAATTAACAAGACACGATAAGAAGCATACCATCCAGATGTCCGCAGGGACGAGTATAATGATGGAGAGAGAACAGAACCAGGTATATCCGACGGTAAGAAAAACGTAACGAGGCACCCATGGACCAGCAAAGTACTTGAGCGTGACGATCACCATGCCCACAGTTAAAGGCAACGAGATCATGTAGAACACCCACATATTTCCGCCCCGAAAATTCTCCCCTCCACGATGAGCTTTTTTGTCAAATGAAACGGAAGGGAGAAGACGAAACGAGTCGATCTAATTGCCTGAACCAACAATTCACAACAACATTGTTGTATTGCAAGACGAAAGAGACAGAGACAAAGACAAAGGCTGCAGCAGTTGGCGCTTGGACGTTGAGTTTTGGCCTGGGCGCGCGAAATTATTAGTGTTTTTTTTTCCTGTTTACTTTCAGAAACGGCGTTCGTGTGCGTTGCACGGGCAGCAGCAGTAACCCCGTAATTGTTCATTTAAGGCTCACGGATATAAGTCGGGTCGGTCGGGTCGGGTCGATTATGGTTTCTTTGAGAGCCCATTTATGCTCCGGCCCATCTTCGTTTCATAGCCCCTTGACCTGCAGGTGCATGATGTGTTGAGATTTTAGTCGTCCACCCATTAAATAGGTTACTATTTATATTTAAAATACATGAGAAACTAGCGTCAACTTCTTTTGCTCAACTTGTAATGTATATTTGTTGTAGAGTATTTATTAAGGATATTTAGTACCAAATTAGAGTTAAATATGAATATGGATTTTCTAAACATTCTCTTCTTTTTTTTTCATTTCTTGTCTCTACCTCACCTCATAGTCATTTCTACTCGATCCCGATCCCGTTGAAATCTCTGCCTATACCACCACGCACAAGAGTCAATATCCAACCTAAGATGACTGAGGAAACAACATAAACGAAAAAGAGTAGAGAGACGAGCACTTAGTTCATCGGATCTGGTCTACATTCCATGATTGAGTTCTTTTGTTTCCGTATCAGTTTTTTCAACAACCCAAACAAGCAAGCAAGCAAGCAAGACGCACCATTACTCCACTGCACAAGATCAAACCCACAGTTCCATAAAGAGATTGGGCAAGCCACGATGGATAAGTACTTGCAACTTAAGCAATCTATAAAGCCCAAAAGACATGGGCACGCCAGGTGGGTTCCCCAATCTTGCCACATATCACAATCTTCTTTATTTGTTGGTTTCCCCATGCCTTCCTCCCCAATCTCTATTTTACAAAAAGGTGGCCACCCACGCACTTCCCCCCCTTCTCTGCCGCCCACGTCGCCCCCCCCATTTTAGCATTTAATTCCTCAATGATTTCTTATTTATTTTTAATAATCGTGTTGCTCCAAAATACAACAATTTTATTATATATATATATATATATTGGGAACAGAAGGAAGAGGATAGAAAGCAACATGCTTTAGGAAAAAAGTTTCAAAATCATATTTATTCTCAACCTTTTCAAATAACTATTTTTAGTCATTAAATTTATTGTATCATATATATATATATATATATATAATATATATATATTTATTGGTTGGTTGGTATAGAATATTTTTTTTTGTCTTCCAACTAAAAATTAGGGTTCATAGCCTAACCCTTTAAAATTGTATAAAATTTTAAATAATTAAAAAAAATGAATAAATTGACAACTGGGTTGGATTATGAGTTTTGTTTTGGTTATTGTGGTTGGATGATGAAAGTTCCATATCGGATAATTTAGGGAATGATCATGGGTTTATAAGTGAGGAATACTAACTCTATTGGTATGAGATCTTTTGGAAGAAGCCCAAAGCAAAGCCATGAGAGCTTATGCTCAAAATGGACAATATCATACCATTGTGGAGAGTCGTGTTCATCTAACATGGTATCAGAGCCACAAACCTCGATTAAGGGGAGGCGTGCTTTGTTCGAGGGGAGGTGTTGAATGATGAAAGTCCCACATAATACTAACTCCATTGATATGAAGCTTATAAGTGAGTAATACTAACTCCATTGATATGAAGCTTATAAGTGAGTAATACTACCTCCATTGATATGAAGCCTTTTGGGTAAAGTAGACAATATCATACTATTGTGGAGAGTCATGTTCATCTAACAATAGTGAGTAACAATCGCTTTCAATGAAAAACTAATTCCAAGTAAGGTTCTTATCCAAATGGGATGCGGGGAATTCAAAATATTAAATGCTTTTATATGCGTCCAAATTTGCATGGTAACGCTAAACTGCACGGCCTTCCATAATCTTAAATGAATTTTCCGAAGACAAAATTTTTAATTAAAGTTAATAATAAAATACTTTACGTATTAATACATGGATATCGCCTTCAGTAGCGCGAAGTTTGCGGACTTGCATCAACTCACGCGCTCGAGTACGGAACATTGGTACTCGCCCACAGATGGATCATGTGTTTAGGCAGAGGTGACTACGGTTGCTCAAACGTTGGGCGTATAGAAAAGCGCCACGTGTTTTTCCTTAATCGACTTGTCGTCTTCTCTTTCTTTTCTCATGGTCATGGGGATCTTACAACTTTTGGATATTGGCATTGATCCGAGTGCTAAAATGCTAACTGCTAACCCAACCCACCGTGCCAACCAATATTCCTCCACCTTTTCCTTTCCCCATGTCTTTAAACCTGCACACCACATGCTCGATAAAATGCCCGACTGAAAAAAAGTAGAACCCAACCAATTTGAAACTGAACAACAACTCTACTTGCTGTTGTGAGATTGGTAAATTTGTTTATTCTGCTACTCAGCTGAAGCCCACATGGAACGCTATGAGATACTCAAGGATATTGGGTCTGGGAATTTTGGTGTTGCTAAACTTGTGAGAGATAAGTGGAGTGGCGAGCTTTATGCTGTCAAGTATATTGAGACGGGCCACAAGGTACTGTTCTATCATCTTCATAACTTCATTCCCAGTTCATCCCACGACTTTCCCAATTGGTTTACAACATCTGCTTCTTGATTTGTGCTGTGTAATATGTCGGTGAAGTTTATATTGATTGTCGGTTTCTTGCAGATCGATGAGCATGTTCAGCGGGAGATAGTGAATCACAGGTCTTTGAAGCATCCAAATATCATAAGATTTAAGGAGGTATTTGATTTCAAGCTGTGAAATTAGTTTTTGATGATTGTTCAATTTCTGCATTGTATGACTACTGTCTACCTTCTTTTATTAAGTATCGAGGATGTTGAAAGGGCTTTTGAAACTTACTCTGCTACAGTGGACCGAGTACTAGACTGTGGCATTTTGTTTATAAAACACGTTTTGTTTTATATAGGTCCTACTCACTCCCACCCACCTGGGAATAGTCATGGAATATGCAGCTGGGGGAGAATTATTTGAAAGAATATGTAATGCCGGAAGATTCAGTGAAGATGAGGTAAATTTGGTTGCTCCTTGACTATTAAACTTGTCATGATTTTGATGAGAAACTGAATTGCAATGAATTCTCTTGGATGGCTTTGCAGAAAATTGTCTGTTGGTTAGGCTAATCTGTCCCTAATTTTCATAAAAAACTGGATTCTTTACCTAAATGTTCTGTTTGTTCTTCGTTCTTTGGTGTATCTGTACAGGCCAGGTATTTTTTTCAGCAGCTGATTTCAGGAGTCAGCTACTGCCACTCAATGGTACTGACTTGTTTGCTTTCTGATGTTTAAATGGTCATTTCAGGCTGATTTTCCATTCTTCTTCTCTTCCTCTTGATTTGCAGCAAATTTGCCACAGAGATCTTAAGCTAGAGAATACACTTTTGGATGGAAGCTCAGCCCCGCGTCTTAAAATTTGTGACTTCGGCTATTCAAAAGTATGGATTTCAAAAGTCTAATTATCCCAAATTTAGATTGTTATTGTTTCTAACAGGTTGGTTTCACTTTATAGTCATCAGTGCTGCATTCCCAACCAAAATCTACTGTTGGAACCCCAGCTTACATTGCACCAGAAGTTCTGTCTAGAAGAGAATACGATGGGAAGGTAGTACCGATCTATTTTTCCCGTCCCGGTCGACCTCCCCATCCCGGTCAACCACCCCATGTCTTCTTCTACACCAGCAATTTCTGATGTCCTTTACCTTGTGAGTTGCAGATTGCTGATGTTTGGTCTTGTGGGGTTACTTTATATGTGATGCTGGTTGGAGCTTATCCATTTGAAGATCCTGAAAACCCAAAGAACTTCAGAAAGACACTCCAAGTTAGTCATTGCCTTTTCTTTTAATCCGCTAATCTCTTCCAATTGCTTTACAATGAGTTAACAAGCAATATGTTATTCGCTTACACCCAGAGGATTATCAATGTCCATTACTCAATACCACACTTTGTTAGCATTTCAATGGAATGCAAGCACCTTCTATCTCGAATATTTGTAGCCGATCCAGAAATGGTATTTGAACTCATGCCCTTTCTAATTCTACCATCTTAACAGCATTTACAAGCATTGTAACTGACTGTGCAATGTTTGCAGAGAATGACAATCCCAGAAATCAAGAAGCACCCATGGTTCTTGAGCAACTTGCCTGTTGAGTTCACAGATGAAGCGTTGTTGGGAGGAATGCGGAGTAATACAGAAGGTGATGCGTTGCAGAGCATTGAGGAGATCCTGTCGACAGTTCAAGAGGCTAGAAAGGCAGGAGAGGGGCTGGTAGTTGGAGGGCAAGGACAGTTTGTTGGGGGCAGCTTGGACTTGGATGAACTGGACACGGATCTTGACATTGATGATTTGGAGGTGAGTGGTGATTTTGTTTGTTCCATGGAGTGCTAGTCCTTGTCAAGTAGGCCAAGTTTGGCCAGAGAAATAAAAATGGAATTTATGGTTGAGTTGGGGAATCAAATTCTGTATTATTTAATGGGATGATGATGATGATGATGTGTAGGGCATTGCTGTTCGTTGAAGGTTTCTATGTTTGTCTCTTTGTGCAGAGTCCATTACAAACACTATAAATTCCAGCAGCTATTATAACAATAACAACGCAGTTTTTTTTTTTTTTTTTTTTTCGTCTGTTCTTGATGTTTTGTTCTCCCTTTCAATTGATCTGACATAGAAGTCCAACATCATTCCTGGAACTTCACCTTTTGTATGGCTTCGATACCAACAATAACGACTCCGATTTTTTTTTTTAGAATTTATTTTGTTGGACACAAAAATTAATCCTACCAAATATTGAAATTCTTGAAATTATAAATTAAATGGTATTTTTATAATAGAAATATCTAGTAGTAGTAACAAAAACTACAAATTATATAGGCTCAATAATATAGACCAAGTCTAAATAAATGAATATCACCCACTTAATTAATAATACAACTACCAATTTTATATTGTGTAATTACAATTAGTGACAATGATTTAACAAATTAAACAAATAAAAAAGACACCGTTTCAAACAAATACATAAGCTTCAATTTTATAATTAAAAATAAATTTAATCGATTAATTAATAATTAACTGCAGTGGACCAAAGCCCATAAAAATCAACACGATTCCTAATGTAGGCCCATATAACCAGAAAGGCGAGTGACCCAATCAAATAGGTTAGGCCCATTAAATGGCGGTTTATGAAGGCCCACTAGTGTTAAGCCCTCAGGCCTCAAATGGGCAGTTGGAAATCCAAACCCGCTGAAAACTACCTGGCGAAGTGGGTAGAAAACATCGGAGGCGGGACTAAAACCCCAAATCGCAGCCTCCCCGCCGGTTGGATATTTTATGAACGTGTACGCTTGCAGCTGAATTGAGAGAGCACAACAGAGCGAGGTTTATTGAACATGGGAGGCAAGGGGAGGGGCGGTAGAGCTCGTACTCAGAGAAAGCATTTTCGAGAGAGCAGAGAGAACGTTTGGAAGCGTCCAAAACCCGATCCTAACTCTGCCAATGACAACAAGGATGGCAATGGCAATCACTGGGAGCCTTTCGAATCTCAAAGTCCTGCGTTCAATGAGTACTACAAGGTTTGTGTTTATTGAACTCTTTCTTCAGTTCTTTTTTGTATTTCTTTTTGTCAACAGAACAGTGTTTTATGAGTTCGATGGATGGTGAGCTTTGTTTGCTGGTTTGGTGTCTAGAATTTCTGACTTTTATGCCAATACGTTTATGACAGCGTAAGTTTGTTTGAGCTTTCTAACTATGACTTTGGAAAATTGTAGGAGCAAGGCATAGTTACTGCGGAAGAATGGGATACGTTTATTGAGGTTCTTCGTAAGCCATTGCCCGCTGCTTTTAGGATCAATTCTAGGTATCAGTTACCATTACCATTATTAATTACCCTTCTCACTCTCTCTCTATCCAAAAAAGAAAAAAGATATGAACGATGAAAAGAAAATACCGCTTCGCCAGAATGTCATTATCTTCGTGGTGTACCGTATGCACGTTATCCTATTGTATGCAGCCCACGTGTTTTTTTTTTTCCCTTTATTTTTTATAAACCATTTACATATATTCCGAATTACATGAACTCCATTGCTTCTTTTAATTATCTGTTTTGTTCTGTTAACGTTGCATCTTAGTACTACTGCTGTCGTTATCATTAGCATTTGAATTTTACAGTGGACAGTTCTGTGGGGAAATACGAGCCCAGTTACAAAACGACTTCTCGAGATCTCTTCAAGCTGAGGTGGACACTGTGAACATTGTTGTTTTTAACTAGGAATGTGACCCAAAATTTATTATTGATCCATATTTGTTCATTTCCTTCTCTATCCTGTTCAGGTTACTGATGGTGATGAAGCCGAGGCTATTAGACCATTGCCTTGGTACCCTGACAATCTTGCGTGGCATTCAAATTTTTCAAGAATGCAACTACGGAAGAATCAAGCTCTCGAGAGGTAATATTGTATTTTTATGGCTATCATTTTTCAAAATTGGACCCTAATTAAATAGAAAGAAGTATATTTTTCTGTATACTTGAGCACTTGAAAGGTAAATTGTTGTACTTTATGGTCACTATTATTTTCTTGATTAGCAATGTAAATTATTTCAATATAATGAATGCATGGATGTTTAGCAATCTAGATTTCCAAGGTCTCGTTTAATACCATTTGGTTTTTAATTTTTGGTATTTTAAAATTAATCTTATAAATACTAGTTCACTTATAAGTTTCATTTTTTTTCGTTATCTACCTCCTAAAGATGTTTTAAAAATTCAAGCCAAATTTTGAAAAACTAAAAAAACTTGTTTTTATTTTTAGAATTTAGCTGATAATCCAAACATTTCTTTAAGAGAGGTGAAAACCATAGGATAGAAATTACGAGGAAACAAGCATAATCTTCAAAAATAGGAAACTAAAAAACAAAATCATTACTAATTAGGGCCTGAGCTTTTAATAATTGTGTATGCATTATTTTGATATTGGATCTTGTTCTGTTCAACAATCTGTTCATGAGAAAGTGTATTTTAGTATCGAGAACTTAGAAGCAAGTTTGTCTTTACCTACTATATCTTTAATGGTGCTGCACTTTAATCTACAAAAATTTCCTAATGTAACAACTGATCAATTTGAATCACGTTTCCAAATGCTACGTGCTTTTTACTGTTTCTGCTTCGCAGTTTTCATGAATTCTTGAAGCTGGAAAATGAAATTGGGAACATTACAAGGCAGGAGGCTGTCAGCATGGTATGCAAGACATCTACACATTTATAAGACACATACCTGATTACTTGATATATCAATTGAGAATATTATCGTAACATTTAATTGTCATTTATATCTCTATACATTCTTATCAACTTGGGGCTTATGGCACAGGTACCTCCTCTTTTTCTGGATGTACATCCAAATCACTATGTACTTGACAGTAAGAAATTTATGCTGATTTAAATGACCATCTTATTTTTTATTTATTTATTGTATGGTCTCAACTTTATATAGTTCATGCATATTATCTCTAACTGTTTTCTTTTTTTTGCTTATTACTCAGTGTGTGCTGCTCCAGGCTCCAAAACATTTCAATTACTTGAGATAATACACCAATCCAGCAAACCTGGAGATCTACCTGACGGATTGGTGTGCCTTCTTTTATTCGTATACTCTTCTCCATAAGTTTCTGTACGGAAACTTTTTTTTTTCTGCCTATGAAGTAGTAGAGTGCTTGCAACCCTTTTCATTTGTTTGGTTGCTTGTCTTTATAATTCATATTTCTCCTACTTTCTTGTGCTATTGATTCTTTATGAAAAATTGATTCGTTAGTCATCTTGATTAGGTAGTGGCAAATGATTTAGATGTTCAAAGATGTAACCTTCTCATCCACCAAACTAAAAGAATGTGCACTGCCAACCTCATTGTTACAAATCATGAAGCACAACATTTTCCTGGATGTCGAGCAAATACCAATTTCTTCAGTGCATCTACAGCAGGGAATGAACTAAAACCTCGTAGCACTCAACTTACATTTGATCGTGTTTTATGTGATGTTCCCTGTAGCGGAGATGGTACACTTCGCAAGGCTCCAGATATATGGAGGAAATGGTAGCCTTAAGAACTTGCTTCTTGTCCTGTGATTTCTCATCATTTGGTCTTATTGGTATTTCTAGATGGTGGTTAAATCTTTTAATTGCTTTCAGGAATTCTGGGATGGGTAATGGTTTACATGGCTTGCAAGTGCAGATAGGCATGCGAGGTACCCATCTTCAACTTTGAATTGCAAAATCTATGATACTGATTATAGCTGCCATGAATTTCTCATTTATCTTCACTAGGTCACCAATACGATTTTATTTATTTATTTATTATTATTATTATTATTTTTTGCTTCAGATTAATGGAAAACCAAAATGTTTTCATCAATTCTTGCAGGTGCCTCTTTACTTAAAGTTGGTGGAAGAATGGTTTACTCAACTTGCTCAATGAATCCTGTTGAAAACGAGGCTGTTGTTGCAGAGGTAATGTATAAGCATTCTGGACCTAAATAAAAGACACCCAATGAGATGCATCAAGGCCTCTCGGTTATTTGCATGGCCTCTAGGATAGTTACAAAATTCCTTAATAAAAGACACCCAATGAGATGCATCAAGGCCTCTCGGTCTTTGTAAGTAGCTCTTTGGGTGGGGTGGGGGGTTCTCTTCCCCCAGCCCGTAGGTTGTCTTTCCTTTCTTTCCTTTTGAATATTTTGGGATGGTTTCTTATACAAAAAAGCTAGTGCTAGGTCCAGGACAATAAGATTACCTATATTGACAAGATTTATTGCACTTTTTTTTAGTTTTTATATTCATTTTTTTTTATCAATGAGCGAAGCTTATTCTCCAAAAGTTTAATTGTTCTCTTTCTATTTCTTGCTCTGGTGGCCAAGCATGTACATATCAGCTTATTAAATCCGTCCCTTCTTTTCATCGATTTGTCTGGTTGCAGCTTTTGCGAAAATCTGGAGGCTCTCTTGAACTTGTTGATGTCTCAAATGAACTTCCACAACTTGTTCGTCGGCCTGGTCTTAAGAAATGGAAGGTGAATTCTTATTTTCTCGGTATTTCTTTTAAGATTGAAAGTTGTTATAGTTTATAAGATGCAATTTTTCTTGTTTTATAGTTCATTTTAAATTAAATAATTTTTTATCTGTCATTTTGGGCTGTTTGGGTATATTTTTAGAAATTGTTTTTGAAAACTGTTTGCATGCTTGTCTATTCAAATTGTCCTAGAATTTTTTTGCTTTATTTATTATTATTATTATTATTTTCATGTGTTATTTAAAAACGCAGCACAAAAGTTGATAATTATTATGAAGCAAACTCTAGTTCAAATTTGAAATGATTAACAGCCAACTTGAATGAGAGGTGGGACTTCTTGCACCTTCGTTCTTTAGGTTGTTTTATTGGTCAACTTATTCCTCGAATGAAAAGTCCCGACCCCCCCCCCCCCAAAAAAAAAAAAAAAAAAAAAAAAAAAAAAAAAAAANCCCCCCCCCCCCCAAAAAAAAAAAAATAAATAAATAAATAAAAATAAAAGAGAGCAAAAGGAAGAGAGCAACGTGGAAATGCTATTTGATTTCCTGTTGAACTCAAGATAGTGAATAATTGAGGTTTCTGAGCTGAAATAATGTTGTGGTTCTACTGTACCAAGTAGTCATTTCCAATTTTCTCTCTTGGTGTATGTTAGCTAGATATGTTCCTTTTCTTGTATAGGTGTGTGATAAGGGTGTATGGTTTGCGTCCTACGAACAAGTTACCGAATCTTGCCAGAGTGTGGCAATACCTGGCATGTTTCCTTCTGGCAGAGGCCATAAAAGCGATACTCATAACTCACAATTGAGGGGAAATCATCCTGACGGTGGAAGTTCTGTTGATGTATCTGAGCCAACAATGGATCCTGTACATGTGTTCGATGAGGAGGTTTGTGAATTTCCAATCGAGCGTTGCATGAGGATAGTGCCGCATGATCAAAATACTGGAGCCTTCTTTGTTGCAGTATTACGCAAAGTTGCCCCTTTGCTAGGTATGCTGAACTATCTAGCATTGGGTTGAGGGCCTGAAAACCTGTTTAAACATACCTCTCCTGAATCTATTAGAAAATGTTAATGTAGTATGCATGGTAGATTTAAAACCTTTGACCTCTTGATCGTAGGTATATGCCCTAACCAATTGATATGTTTAGGTTTGACATGCATTATTTAATGTCGTTATATAGTTAATAACTTCTGCATGCAAATCTTGTTTTTTTTTTTTTAATTTTTTTTATTTGACTATATGCAATATACTTTTTATTCATACTTAATTACATGTGACAATTTTTTTATTAAATTTTAACTCTATTTTTATGCATGCAAATCTTGTCGTTTCCCCTTCTTTTTTCTTGGTGTGGGGCTGCTTCAGCTGCTACTGAAAAAACAAGTGATCAGAATACGAAGTCTGCAAATGACCAGTCTCGTGGCAAGCTTCAACAGACTATTACAGATGCAGATAGTGTGGACCTTAATGCAACAGATGGGATGGGCGAAAGCTCCTCAGAAGTTGAGATTGATCCCAATAATCAAAGGGACTCCAATTCTGCAAACAATAATCCACCTTGCAAACTTCCAGTTCAGGATAATAAAGACGCAGATGGTTTGGACAGTACAGATGGGATGGATAAGCCGTTCTCAGAAGCTGACTTGGAGGTAGTTGATAATGAAACGACTGAAAATAAATTGGAAATTACTGCTATAAAAAATAACTCAGAGGAATCTAAGCAGCCTGGTGATGGTGAAATGGATCCTAAGAAGTGCAATGGGAAGAGAAAGTTGCAGATTCAGGGCAAGTGGAGGGGTGTTGACCCTGTTGTATTATTCAAAGATGAAACCGTCATTGATTGCATAAAGACATTTTATGGTATTAATGAGTCTTTCCCATTGATTGGCCACCTTGTTACTCGAAATAGTGACACTAACCATGTGAAAAGAATCTATTACATTTCTAACTCTGTCAAGGACGTTCTTGAGCTGAATTTTTCAGCCGGGCAGCAACTTAAGATAACATCCATTGGTCTGAAGATGTTTGTAAGTATCCCTTGCAACCGTTCACTTTTCATTATATTTTGGAATCATTACTGTCTTCGAACTGATAGAACACACCGTCAGCTAATCAATTTTCTTCCACCGAGGCTTACTGAATAGCAGAACCATTTTCAAAATAAACTTGTTTAACTTGATATATGTTTTGTTTTTACTTGCTAGAGCTCATTTGATTATGTTGTGCTCATCTTAGGATCGGCCTTTAAGTGGCAAAATGATATATTCTTTATTTTTATTTTATTTGTTTGTTTCAAATAATTTGATGATCTGCCATATCTCATGTAATTGCGATGAATAGGAGAGGCAATCATCAAGAGAAGGTAGCTCTGCACCCTGTGCATTCCGTATATCGTCAGAGGGATTGCCTGTGTTACTTCCGTACATCACCAAGCAAATCCTAACTATGTCTCCAGTGGATTTCAAGCATCTATTACAATATAAAAGTATCAAATATGCAGATTTTGTGGATGCTGCTTTTGGTGAAAAGGCATCAAACTTAATGCTAGGTTGCTGTGTGATAGTTCTGGGTACAGGTATGTAGCGTCCATGCTGTGTAGATTATTTTCCTTTTGTTCACGCATCTTGGTTCTTACTAAGCACATCCTTCTCTTTTCAAAGGTAACACCTCTTCCGACGTTATCAAAGTTGACGAGTCAACTATAGCCATTGGGTGCTGGAAAGGGAGGGCCAGTCTGAGTGTTATGGTCACGGCCACTGATTGCCAAGAACTACTTGGAAGGCTTTCCAATCGGCTTGGAAATGATTTGTAGTGCAGGAAAGTCAAGTTATCTGATGTTGAAGCTAAATCTAAATCATGGTAGACGATAGTAACATGGTATTAGCTTAACAACTTCAATAGAACTGTACAATCTAGAGAAGTTAAGCCTTACCCTTGCTTCCAGTCTATCCAATATTTATAGTGACAGCATGTTTTGATTTCTTCAAACTAATCTTATATTTTTGAGGATTGATATCAAAGGAGAATGTAGCGTGCAGGGAATTTTCAAAAAGGGAAAGAATTGCTGTCGTCTTTATATCAGGTTCTTTATTCTATTTTTAAAGGACATATTGCTGTATCTGTGTAGGGCTGTTAGCTTTCATTACCTCTTAGTGTAGTTAAGATATGCGTAAATATACGATAAACCATTTCATGATTCTATTTATACGTATAATATCGGATATTTAATCCAAAAAATACAACATTTAATAATTCTCTTGAACAAGAAACCAAGAAAACTAATTAAATCAAATATATGAGAACTTCATTTGCCGTCCTTCAAGTAAATATATAAACTAAAGCATACAATCAAATATACAAATGACCGCAGAAAACCATCACACCAGTAAAAATAGACCCACCTAGATCCCCCCCCCATTGCAGCCTACTTCCAAACAAATCATGTTGAAGTACAACACATCTTGCTTTTCGTCGGGATTTCTTGCGCCGGGCCCGGAATAATGACCTTCTTACCACCGGCGAGGGATGCAGAGTTACCATTGCCTTGATTCTCACCAGCAGCAAGGTTCTTTTTGTTCATGATGTTGAAGATCTCTGTTAAGATAGTCATGAAGGCACTCTCCACATTGGTGGATTCAAGAGCCGAGGTCTCCAAGAAAAACAAACCTTCTTTCTCGGCGAATTCCTTGGCGTCGTCGGTGGAGACTGCACGCTGGTCTTCAAGATCACTTTTGTTTCCTATTAAGATGATGACAATGTTCTTGTCAGCATGGCTCCTCAACTCCTCAAGCCAACGAGGTATGTGATCAAAGCTCTGGCGTTTGGTAATATCGTACGCAAGCATTGCCCCAAGAGCTCCTCGGTAATATGCACTTGTAACTGCTCTGTATCTGTTCGCATACTCCTATGTGTTAAGATATGTGGCTGTTCTATGGCATACTCTCTGCTATTCTTATAAGAAGCAACCGTGCAATAAATAACGAAGAAATTAACATCACCAACCCCACACCAAATATCAAAAAGAAAAACTTAGAAAGCTTAGATCCATAATACTTTAGCTTCCACACAGCCTGCAGGAAGAATCAAAAGACTGAATAGGAGTAGCCAAAAAAGCGGATCCACAGGACAAATCTTCCAACAACAAGATACCAACAAAATCATCCTTTGTTGTTTTACCCCGACCAATGTGAAATGAAATGAAATGAAATGTAACAGCCCCAAATGTAATACCCCGACCAATGTGAGATCTCACAATCTGCCCCCGGCACTGCCATTCAGTGCTTGGTTTTTATACTATTTGTAACAACCCAAGCCTACTCCTAGCCGATATTATCCTCTTAAGACTTTTCCTTCCGAACTTCCCCTCTCAAGGTTTCCTTCAGTGCTTGGTGTTTGGCTCTGATGCCATTTGTAACAACTCAATTCCATTGTTAACATATATTGTCCTCTTTGATCTTTTCTTTTCAGAGCCAAGCATCAAATGAAGTGCTAATGGGGTGTTGGCCCTTAAAAGAGTAGATGGTGAGATCCCAGGTAAGTTTGGTCAGGGGCTGTTACAGGAAAGATGTTGCTCAATTACATTCTCTTATGCTAATCCTCCATGTCATCACATTCCCCTTTCAAAGACACACAATTCGGAATGATGAACATTTAATCAACCAACGAAAATCTGATTCCATGCACAAAATCTGCCTTTAAAGATAGAATAATCTGCCTTTTAACTAAACAGACGAAATCCAAAAGCACAAAGGGCACCATCATTCTACAGAAAATCCAACCCAACAAGAGTAAATGAAAACTAAATGGAGGAAAAAGTACCTTTCCTGGCCCGCAGTATCCCAGATCTGAGCTTTAACACTCTTATGCTGAATAACTAGCGTTCTAGTCTGGAACTCCACACCGATTGTAGCCTTCGAATCCAAGCTGAACTCGTTCCGGGCAAACCTCGCCAGAATCTGAGATTTACCCACCGCAGAGTCCCCGATCAACACCACTTTGAACACATAATCAATCTTCTGATTCGCATCCCCATATCCGCCGCCGCTCGCCATTTTTCCAGCTCTCAGCTCACAAAACCCTCGTCTGTAGAACAGAAGAAGAAGAAGAAGAAGAAGAAGAAGAAGAAGAAGCTCGAAATGGATCCAGCAAGAAGAAAAAAGTACAGCAGAACCCAGTAGCAGCAGAGTTCTGTGAAAGCGAAGGCAGCAGCTACATGGACAGAAAGAACTCAAAGCCCATTTCGGGGTTTGCAAGAACTCGAAGCCAATTACTGTGTGGGACCTGATTCATAAACACGTGGACTGAAAACACTGGATAACGAAAAAGAGTAAAGTGAGTTTGTATGCATGTGATTCGAGCTCCGAAATATTGATAACCAGAGGGATGCCATCGGCTCACTGGCCAGTTCGACGGACAGTAAATATTTTTCTTTATCCAAAAGAAAAATAAATCATACATAAGTTATTATAGTCGCACTTTGATCCACGATTTTAAATTTAAAACGAAAATGAATTAGGTGGTCATCTCAATTGATTAGAAAGAAAAATAAAACATTAGTGTAAAAAATTGTCTCTATTAAATAAGTTTTAAAATCATGAAGTTGATAATGAGTCAAAATAAATAATATTTGTTATTCGTGAATTTGGTTATTGACGCGTCGCTAGCCAGGTAACTAACGCCTCCCATTCAACCAAATCCTTACAACCCCTGGTTGGATCAACCCAAGGTCAAGTAATTGGGCTGGGAGTCCTCTTCTGGACTTGGGTTGGACTTGGATTGACTGGCGCTTGGGAACTAAACAGGTCCTTGTCCGGGACTTGGGTTGGACTTGGATTGACCGATGCTTGGGAACTAAACAAGGTCCGAAAAACTGTTCATCATAAAATGATCTACGGATGGGATTCGTTGATTACCCTATATCTTATAACTCATTCCACTCGCCGGTTCAGGCAAAGGCTGTGATAGGTACACTACACGAGGAAGGACGGAAATGGATGAAGAGGAGCACGAGGTTTACGGTGGAGAGATCCCGGTCGAAGAGGGTGATGTTGACATGTCTGCCGCCGATGACGAAGCCATCAAGGTTCCCTCTGCTCCCTCTCTCACAACCATGTAGATCAACGATCAAAACAGTTGTGTTGTAAAAGGTTGATTTCTGTGGTATCTGAATTTATTGTGTTCTGTGGATACTGCAGGAGCTGGATGAGATGAAGAAGCGACTGAAGGAGATGGAGGAGGAAGCAGCTGCTCTTCGCGAGATGCAGGCCAAGGTAGAAAAGGAAATGGGCGCTGTTCAAGGTTTAACTCCTTCTCGAATTACTTTAAGACTATATGAGTCTTTAAATTTTGTATGAAGCTGCTGTAGCATTGTCAGTCTTGCTGATTAAAATATCTCACTACAGATCCTACCGGTGCGGCTGTAAGTCAAGAAAGCAAGGAGGAGACAGATTCGCGATCCGTGTTTGTTGGCAACGTGAGATGAGAACTATAGTCTTCATACTGTTTTTTTTTTGGTTATTTTTTTTACATTATTCTTCATATACTGCGGTTTTCAGTTGATCAAACGCTATTTCACAAGCACTATGATCTCGATGATATTTGTTTTGCAACCTGACAAATGCAGCCTCCACTACTAGCTAATTTTGTAGTTAATTTCTGTTGATGAGCATATCCTAGGCGAAGATTAGTTATATGTATGTGCAATTTATTCCTGCACAACCGTTGCTGTGTATCCCAAAAGTAAATCTATCTAGGGTTTGGTGAAGTGATTTAAAGTTTCCTTTCCTTTCTATTGGTTTTGGGGAGTTCTACCTGAACTTAAGTCAAAGATACTGCGAAAGCGCATATTATTTAAGGCTTATTAGCGAAACATTGTAGGTATGCTATTTCGGTCTCTCTTGTGCATGTTATCGGGATTTTTTCTGCATTTAGTTCTAGCTTAAAGTGAGCCATTGATTTAACCATTTTACTAGAAATCTTGCCCTGTATTTGTCTTGCTTCTTTACGACTTTGTTATGTTGTAGGTGTGCATCTTCACAATGTCAGAGTAGATGTTTAACTTATTTGTCTCACTATGATGGCAGGGTCATTCATTTTACCCCAAGTTCTCAGTATTTGCGCTGGGATGATTGCAATGTATTTCTGTTAGGAAAAATTACTTATCGTGTCATTATTATTGTATTCAGGCTGTAAAGGAAAGAAAATCTCATGTATGTGCGAAACAAATTGAAGGAAAAAAGTACAAAAAGGAAAAAAAAAATGTTTGCAAAAAAAAAAAAAAAAAAAAAAAAAAAAAAAAAAAAAAAAAAAAAAAAAAAAAAAAAAAAAAAAAAAAAAAAAAAAAAAATGCAAAAGAACAAGAGAAAGAAAGAATGGAATATTCAAAAAAGAGAAAACAAGATGGAAAAGAAATCTTTGTAGTTGATATAGAGGGAACCGAGTAACAAGGAAAAAAAACAAAAAGGAAAAGGAATGTGAAGATTGGGAAAATGACATGGGCATAGTTCTTTTGAACCAAAGAAGTAAATGCGAAGTGTGAAATTGAGTAGAGATGGATGGGAATATGAACTAAAGAAGCTTCAGCATACATGAGGACATGATCACATCACTGGAGGCAGATCATTTGCATGCAATGTTAGTTGCAGGGTATTGTTGCTGCTGGGAATGATGGTAACTTATGCTTCAGAAATGAGGGCTATTTAACTGTCCTTGCGAGGGTACATAATTTTGCTTTTCTTGCAGCTTTGATATCGATATCTTGGTTCTATTTATCTCCCTCGCAGATATTGCTTACTGAAAACTTGTCACTGACAATAATCTATTCTCAGTGGATCAGTTTCTGCCCCTTGGATACCTTTAACAACATTTATTTTCTCCTTTTGATTTTTACTTCACAAGGTTGTTGTTTTATGAGTGCCTAGTGAAATAAGAGTTGATACGTTTCTAGCTTCCGTCTGTGCAGAAGAGATGTTGAGTTTCCTTTTATGGAAGTTGCCCTCCTCGTGAAATGGGACCTTTGGCAGTT